ATTGATATGACCGAAATTGTGGTTGTGGGCACAAAATTAACAAGTTACGTTATACTGATGACACAGTCTTGAAAGCAACAAGTCAGAAAGAACTACAGGAAATGATAGACATTGTGGTGTTAGAAAGTGGAAGAATGGGCCTCAGTTTGAATAATGGGAAGACAGAAGTAATGGTGGTATCAAAGAAACGAATTATTCCTAAGTGTGTAATAAAAGTCGATGGTGTTATTTTCGGACAAGTACAGAAATTTAAGTATCTGGACACATGGATAACGTCAGATGGAAGATGCATAACTGAGATAAGAAACAGAATAGGACAGGCAAAAGCTGCCTTTCATGAAATAAAGAACATCTTGTTCAATATATCCTTGTCATTGAGAGTTAGAAAAAGAACTCTTGCTTGCTACATGCATCCAATTTTAACATATAGCTATGAATCCTGGAGAATCGGTATGCAGGCCAAACAATTTCTTCGACCTCAGAGATGTGGTTTTACAGAAGAATGCTTAGAATACCTTGGACAGCCAAAAATAGCAACCAAGAGGTTTTGAAAGAGGCGGGAGCCCGAAGACAACTTATCACAGACATCAGAAGGAGACAGTCATAATTTTTAGGCCATGTTATGAGAACAGAGAAAATAGAACAGACTGAGATCACTGGAAAGATCTGTCGAAGGAGGGATAGAGGAAGACAACGAGAGAAGATGCTTGACAGTCTTGTTGCATGGCATGGAAGTCGGCACACGAGCTGATACATGCTGCAGGAGATCGCGGATTATGGAAAGGCATGATCGCCCATGCCAGTCGGCATGGCACCTGATGATGATATATATATATATATATATATATATATATATATATATATATATATATATATATATATATATTAGATTAATAAATTGATATAAGTTTTAATTCTGGACACTTTCTATTGTCTTGTGATTCCACCTTCAGAATAATAACTGTATTGAGAATTTTCTGATTGTTCCCTGTCCGAGTGTGCACGGTATGGAGACTTGCCTGAGTGTTACCTGTCAGAGTGAACACTGTATGGAGAATTGTTTGATTGCTCCCTGTCAGAGTGACCACGGTATGGAGAATTGTTTGATTGCTCCCTGTCAGAGTGACCACGGTATGGAGAATTGTTTGATTGCTCCCTGTCCGAGTGAGCACGGTATGGAGAATTGTTTGATTGCTCCCTGTCCGAGTGAGGACTGTATGGAGACTTCCCTAAGTGTTCCCTGTCAGAGTGAGGACTGTATGGAGACTTGTCTGATTGTTCCCTGTCAGAGTGAGGACTGTATGGAGACTTGTCTGATTGTTCCCTGTCAGAGTGAGGACTGTATGGAGACTTGTCTGATTGTTCCCTGTCAGAGTGAGGACTGTATGGAGACTTGCCTGACTGTTTCATGTCACAGTGAGGACTGCCTGGAGATTTGTCTGATTGTTCCCTGTCAGAGTGAGGACTGTATGGAGACTTGTGTGATTGTTCCCTGTCAGAGTGAGGACTGTATGAAGACTTATGTGATTGTTCCCTGTCAGAGTGAGGACTGTATGGAGACTTGTGTGATTGTTCCATGTCAGAGTGAGGACTGTATGGAGACTTGCCTGATTGTTCCCTGTCAGAGTGAGGACTGTATGGAGACTTGTCTGATTGTTCCCTGTCAGAGTGAGGACTGTATGGAGACTTGTCTGATTGTTCCCTGTCAGAGTGAGGACTGTATGGAGACTTGTGTGATTGTTCCCTGTCAGAGTGAGGACTGTATGGAGACTTGCCTGATTGTTCCCTGTCAGAGTGAGGACTGTATGGAGACTTGTCTGATTGTTCCCTGTCAGAGTGAGGACTGTATGGAGACTTGTGTGATTGTTCCCTGTCAGAGTGAGGACTGTATGGAGACTTGTCTGATTGTTCCCTGTCAGAGTGAGGACTGTATGAAGACTTGCCTGATTGTTCCCTGTCAGAGTGAGGACTGTATGGAGACTTGTCTGACTGTTCCCTGTCAGAGTGAGGACTGTATGGAGACTTGTGTGATTGTTCCCTGTCAGAGTGAGGACTGTATGGAGACTTGCCTGATTGTTCCATATCACAGTGAGGACTGTATGGAGACTTGTCTGATTGTTCCCTGTCAGAGTGAGGACTGTATGGAGACTTGTCTGATTGTTCCCTGTCAGAGTGAGGACTGTATGGAGACTTGTGTGATTGTTCCCTGTCAGAGTGAGGACTGTATGGAGACTTGTCTGATTGTTCCATGTCAGAGTGAGGACTGTATGAAGACTTGCCTGATTGTTCCCTGTCACAGTGAGGACTGTATGAAGACTTGTCTGATTGTTCCCTGTCAGAGTGAGGACTGTATGGAGACTTGTCTGATTGTTCCCTGTCAGAGTGAGGACTGTATGGAGACTTGTCTGATTGTTCCATGTCACAGTGAGGACTGTATGGAGACTTGCCTGATTGTTCCATGTCACAGTGAGGACTGTATGGAGACTTGTCTGATTGTTCCATGTCACAGTGAGGACTGTATGGAGACTTGCCTGATTGTTCCCTGTCAGAGAGAGGACTGTATGGAGACTTGTCTGATTGTTCCATGTCACAGTGAGGACTGTATGGAGACTTTCCTGATTGTTCCATGTCACAGTGAGGACTGTATGGAGACTTGTCTGATTGTTCCATGTCACAGTGAGGACTGTATGGAGACTTACCTGATTGTTCCCTGTCAGAGAGAGGACTGTATGGAGACTTGCCTGATTGTTCCATGTCACAGTGAGGACTGTATGAAGACTTGTCTGATTGTTCCCTGTCACAGTGAGGACTGTATGGAGACTTGTCTGATTGTTCCATGTCACAGTGAGGACTGTATGAAGACTTGTCTGATTGTTCCCTGTCACAGTGAGGACTGTATGGAGACTTGTCTGATTGTTCCATGTCACAGTGAGGACTGTATGGAGACTTGTCTGATTGTTCCATGTCACAGTGAGGACTGTATGAAGACTTGTCTGATTGTTCCATGTCACAGTGAGGACTGTATGAAGACTTGTCTGATTGTTCCATGTCACAGTGAGGACTGTATGGAGACTTGTGTGATTGTTCCATGTCAGATTGAGGACTGTATGAGGACTTGTCTTATTGTATGGAGACTTGTGTGATTGTTCCCTGTCAGAGAGGACTGTATGGAGACCTGTGTGATTGTTTCCTGTCAGAGAGGACTGTATGAAGACTTGTCTGATTGTTCCCTGTCAGAGAGGACTGTATGAAGACTTGTCTGAGTGTTCCCTGTCACAGTGAGTACTATGGAGATCTGCTGTTCCCATCTAGACATTTTCCAAGTCCCAAGATCAGTCTGTAAACTGAGCTGAAGTTGTCAGACCGCTCGATGAATATAAACAAGAACTCAACTGAATTAAAGAAATAAATATCTTCCTGATCCTGCATGGAGAATTGCTTTATGGAGTTTCAAACGCTCTATAAAAAATACTGCTGTTTTTTGTCTGGTTTCTTGTTGTTTATTGTTCTCTCTGATCTTTTGATGTTTGTTGCTCTGTCTGAACTCTTAATGTTCTTTCCCATCTCTTGATATTCTGACTTGTTTCTGGGTGTTTGTTGTTCTGACTGATCTTTTGATGTTTGTTGTTCTGTCGGCATGATTGCTGTTCTGTCTGATTTCCTAATGTTTGTTATTCCTGTCGGATCACTAGATGGTCATTGTTCTGTTTAATCTCTAGATGTTTTTTTGTTGTCTTATTATAATGTTTATTGTTCTGACTGATCTCTTGATGTTTGCTGTTCTGTCTGATCTCTTGATGTTTGCTGTTCTCTCTGATCTCTTGATGTTTGCTGTTCTGTCTGATCTCTTGATGTTTGCTGTTCTCTCTGATCTCTGAATGTTTGCTGTTCTCTCTTATGTCTTGATGTTTGCTGTTCTGTGTGGTCTTTTGATGTTTTTTTTTCTATCTGATCTCTTGATGTTTGTTTTTCTGTCTCTTCTCTTGCTTGTTGTTTAGTCTGTTATCGTTCTCATGCTTGTTGTTCTGTATGATTTCTTGATGTTTTTTGTTCCGTCTGATCTCTTGATGTGCTTTTTTTTTTTTTGGGGGGGGGGGGGGGGGGGGGGGGGGGTTCTGTTCTGTCTGATCTCTTAATGTTTGTTGTTATGTCTGATCTCTTGCTTGCTGTTCTGCCTGATCTCCTAATGTTTGTTATTCTATCGGATCTCTAGATGTTTATCGTTCTGTGTAATCTCTTGATATGTTTGTTCTGATTGATTTTTTTAAATGTTTATTGTTCTGTCTGATCTCTTGATGTTTGCTGTTCCGTCTGATCACTTGATGTTTTCTGTTCTGTCTGATCTTTGAATGTGTTTTGTTACGTCTGATCTCCTAATGCTTTTTGCTCTGTCTGTTCTCTGGATGTTTACTATTCTATCTGATCTCTTGATGTTTATTGTTCTGTCCGATCTCTTGATATTTGTTGGTTTGTCAGATCTCCTGGAGGTTTTTTTTTTTTTTTTTTTTTGGTGTGTTCTGTCTGAAATCTGGATGTTTTTTTTTTTTTTGTTTTTTTTTTTTTTTTTTTGTTCTGTCTGATATCTTGATGTTTTTTGTTCTGTCTGATAAATTATTGTTTTTTGTTCTGTCTGATAAATTGATGTTTTTCGTTCTGTCTGATAAATTGATTTTTTTTTTTTTTTTTTTGGTTGTCTGATATCTTGATGTTTTTTGTTACGTATGATCTCCTGCTGGTTATTCTGTCAGATTTCTTGATGTTCTTTGTTCATTCTGCTCTCTTGATGTTTGTTGTTCTGTGTGATCTCATGCAGTTAGTTGTTCTTTCTGATCTCTAGATGCTTGTTGTTCTGCCTGATCTCTTGATGTTTGTAGCTCTGTCTGGTCTCTAGCTGTTTGGGTAGGATTTTTTAGGACTTGGTAATGTATTATTCCCTCTGATTTCTACTTTCCATTCATTATCATTAGTTATTTCTGTTTCTTTCACATTTAGAATGCCAGATGAACTTCAGCTCGGAACAAAACCATCACGAGCTGATCTTGCAGTGCCAAGTTCACGGGATCAAGAGCTTCAACTACACCAACCCTGGGAAGCTGGTCGTGTCCAGGGACTCCACGCAAACTCAAGCCTACGTGTCTGTTCACCAGAGCCAGGTTGGACCCCAGTCCAATTTCTCAAATGCGCAGGTCACAGGCCGAATCTCCTTCGATGCTGGATCCAAGAGGTACATTAGAATCGTCTGGACTGACTTGAGTGAAGATCTTAAAGGCAATTACACATGCCGGGTTTATAGTGTCAACAACGAGTTGATAGCCTCCAAACACCTGACAGTCCGGCTGAGACCAATAGGGCCTGATTTCCAAGCGAAGCCCCATGTTATCCAGATAGGCTTGACAAAAAGACTGGACGTATCCTGCGCCTTGACCGATTATAAAAGCCTGAATATGTCAAAGGTTGGTAGTCTGGACATCTTCAAAGTTCAAAATGGATACGAGTGTTTGTTCGCGCGAGTGTGGACTATGGCTGGAAAGTTGTTTACTTCAGGGCTTAACGAGCTGTTTGTCACAGGGGTCATAGAAAACGATTATGCCCAGTGTGTAGCCAGCTGGATGAACCCATCTGAAGACGTGGCAGGCGAGTACCTCTGCCGCGTCTCGGCTGTCGGGGTTAAAGGTGATCCTGTATTCTTCAACAGTAAGGTCAATGTCACATGGGAACTTCCTAGTGAGGAAACGTTGCTCAAACGCTTCAATGAAATGATCGCACGACAAGACGAACTAGTGGAGCAGGAGAAAGAGGGAGATGAGAATCTACAGGAGGCTGTGTTGATACTGAATACAACAGATAAGCGTCAATGCAGAAACCCTACTAGTTGTGACGACATCTACTTCACGCTAAACCCTGGTCAACATCTTGTCCGTGTGGAGCCTGAAGATGGATTGGGGCCAATCAACGTCCTCTGTGACGTGGTAGGACGCCGTGAAGTCTATACCGTGTTTCAAAAAAGATTCAACGGAAAGGTTGACTTCTACCGAAACTTCCATGATTACGAGAATGGTTTTGGTTCTGTCGATAGCGAATTTTGGTTAGGTCTCAAAAACATCCGACGACTCTTGATCCAGAACGGTGATAAGAACCAACTGCGAGTGGACATGTCAGTGATGGGCACTGATCTCAACTACACCAGAATTTATCCTACCTTCTCCATTGGTCCCCCTGAGGAGTATAGACTGACCGTCAGCGGCTTGTATGACCGGGGCTTCGGGATGTCTTCCAACTCCCATAAACCGTTCTCCACCTATGACCGGGGTCTGACGCATGTTGCCAGCAGACACAACCGTGGAGCCGGCTGGTGGTTCCCAGAAGACCACGGGTACGTCAACCTGAATGGAGTCTGGGGCGTTCCTGGGAAACCTTATTCTATATTCTGGTGGGAACTGCGTCAGGATTTGAACTTCATTCTTGAAAAGACAGAAATGAAATTTCGGAGGAACAAGTGACTAATAAGATATTTATGCATGGCTACTGCTCTCCAGTATCATAGTTATATTGTGTAGGCAAACATCATACTTTTTAACGCGGCTGAAAATGGTTCGATCGTGAGGATGTGTGACCATGTGTCCTGTGTATCGCATTTACATTAAATCGCCCATACAACACGGGGTACCACCGGCAGAAATTACCTTCAATTTCTCATCATCATCATCATCATGTAGCCGGTCCTTTGCAGAACGTCACTGTAATCACAGCCCTTCAATATCTACGGCTGATATATTGATAGTTGCCTGAGAGGACAATGTTGCGAGAAGTGTGGTTTACCAAACCCATACACTGTATGACAACTTCAGTTAACTCAGTTCTACGACATACTTAATGTTTCAGTCGGCCTCTATAGCTTAGGAAAATGCACTTTGGAACGCGGTTTCTAATTCCGCTTCGATTCCGGCAGCCGGCGATTTGGATGCAGACCGCCTTGCGTTATTTTGACAATGGTATGGGTTGTATTGGTGCTGTCAGCGTCTGTAGCCTAGGCGTTGCGCACGCGCTTCGTAATGCCGGAGTGCCGGCTTCGATCCCAGCTGTAGGCCCGGCGCCTAGCGTTTGTTTCGACAGTGGTAACGTGAAGCCGACCGTCCAGGGGGCAATGGCAAACTATTAGACGTAAATTTGCCTAGAAAACCCACAACAGCCAAAAACTGACGTGAAGTTGGTTCTACAACGTCCTGTACAGGATACGCTGCTACCTTGTATGGAAGCTGAAAGGTTACGGAGCAATGGCAACATACTGAAAGTTTACAGAGCAATGGCAACATACTGAAAGTTTACGGAGCAATGGCAACATACTGAAAGTAAAACTGCACAGTCAAATCAGAAACAGATAACATTTATTAAGATTGGTTTGCATCATTGTTTGAAGATAACGCAACTATAGGCCGTTTCAGACGTCGTGCCCAACTTGAACAATCTGTAACTAACCGTTCCCCATATGCCCGATGTGCCTAAAAGCATTTAAAAGGATCTTAACTTTACTTTAGAGAACTAAAAGTTCGGTGTTTGTTGTTGAAATCTGGGACGCAACTCTGATAAACATGTGCCTGTTATAAGTTGTTTCAGTGTAAACAAACATGGGGTTTTTATTGTGTCTTCTTCTTCTTAGAGTCTATGCTGCGTTGGTGGTCATGTCCACTGGCTTGTGTCTCGTGTACTTTCAGTCAGCTCTGACACACATGATCCTCCATGCCATGATGTCAAACTGTCCAGCATCTGTTCTATCGGTCTCCCTCTGCCTCTCCTCCCCTCCAACTTTCCTACCGTCACGATGTACTCCAATTTTCTCCTTCTTATCACATGATCAAAGAATGTTGATTGTCCATTTATGCTGTGGGCAATCAGTTCTCTTCATGCCAGTTTTGTTTTTTGTTTAAATCACTCCAGGGTATTTTTATGTTCTCCGCAGCCTCCAGAAAAGTTTTCACTAACTACTGTCTGCCCATGATTTACACCCATACATCAATATAAAAGTATATAGCTCTAGAGAATTCTCTTTCTCGTCGCAATTGACAAAGAAAGATTGCATAGAATATTCTTCCTTTTGTTCAGTTTTTTTTTTTTTTTTTTTCGTTGTTGTTGTAATTACCATTACTTATGTGTTTTTTTTTTTTTCTGCTGTTGAAACTGAGACCCGTGTTTTCCTTTTCAGTTACAATTATATCCAGCATTTCTTGCAGTTGTGTTGTATCTTCAGCGATCGAAACTATATCGTCAGCACATGGCGGGTTGTTGGCAATATTCCCACCAGCCGCTAGTCATGGCATACCATGTATGATCTAATGATTATTTGACTATACACATTGAATAAAGCAACTGCTGGTTGTACAGGTCCCTGTCTAACGCTTTGTTTATTGTTTTGACAAATTCCAACTTGATTGTCAATCCTTATGGTTGCTTCTGGCTGTCAGTAGATATATATATATATATATATATATATATATATATATATATATATATATATATATACATTTTGTTTTCTCAGATCTTTACTATCAATATTTAAAGTTTACCAAATTGTAATAATTTCTTTATGTTTCACTTTAACAAATGCTTTACTATATTCAATAAAGCACACATACAGATCTCTGTTTATGTCAATCATTCTTCGAAAGGTTCTCAAGATAAATAAAGCGTTGTTTGTGCCATTACCTTCAACAAAACCACATTGTGCCTTTAACTTCAACAAAATCACATTATGCCTTTACCTTCAACAAATTCACATTCTGCCTTTACCTTTAACAAAAGCGTATTGTGCCTTTACCTTCAAGAAAATCACATTCTGCCTTTACCTTAAAAAAAATCGCATTTTGCCTTTACCTTCAACAAAATCACATTCTGCTTTTACCTTCAACAAAATCACATTCTGCCTTTACCTTTACCAAAAGCCCATTGTGCCTTATTTGCGAAATATTAAAAAAGTCAGCGATTAAATGCAGACAGTCTGCAAGCTTACAGTTAAATGAGTAAAGGAAACTTCTGAAAACATTAGCTTGCAGGTGTGGCATAGGCTTTCACTCTCCTGTGGTCATCTCGAGCGTCAGTATCCTACGATTTGCTGATGTTCCATTGTATGCGGGATAGGCTATCAAAAACATTACCTTTCATCCCTGAACATATGCAGTGATTTCCAAACAGTCTCCGCACGTGTACCAATGACTGTATACGCAATTTTTAGAGCTTTTCAAATTATTAGTCAAACAAATGTCACAGAACTCGTGTGAGACACAGAACAAAATATAAAACTTGATGACATATCAACTAGGAAGAGTCAGATGAAATGCAGTTTAATGTTGTCAGTTAATCGTATCAATGTAAAAACAATACACGTGTGTGGGATAAATAACACAGTTGTTAGTAATCGTTGTGTCCTAGATAATAAATGCATCGTCACAAAATAAGGGATTTACAGGAGATGAAGCCACCCACCTAACAGCTTGGACTAGTCAAAGACGTTTTTGAAGAGATACATGAGCACGAGCTTATGGGAGAAAAATGCAAGTGAAAGATCAAAGCATGACTGTGTCAATAGGCTTGGCAGAAACTGACGCTGAGGGGAAACCACACAACTGCCTTAGCACGGACAAGACATTCAATCATGTTACAGCTGGAACTGTTAGCATGTCGACTTTTCTTTGGTTACTGAAAAAGAGACTGAGAATTTCTGGGAATGTCCCGAGTGCAGTCATTAGGCTTCAAAAATATGTGTCTGATAGGACGATGGCGTGACAAGTGTCTTTTAGGGACTCCTACGTTGTTGATTGTTCATTATAAAGATCTGGGTAAAGCTGGGGCGACCATCCACAACCTAGCGCGTCTACTGGTGGCAGATTGTGGAACGGTCTCTAGATATACAGGTTAGCTGTGAATACCCAATAAACAGCTGTGGACCAACCGGCGGTGGGCACAGAGGGCGAGGCGGGATTTCTGGGTGGAATCTGGAAATCCTTATAGAATACCTCATATGCTCGGAGACGTGCCTGCCAAGCGGGTCGGGGCGTTATAACCCTCTTCTCCGGGTAGGTGGAACCCGTTAGCTTTGGACGGCAGTCCATCTAGGAGACGGCAAACTAGTCTAGTCCTCTCTGTGATCTACTTACTATTAAAAAAAAGTAAAGGACCCTTTTCCACGCCTTAAGGCCTATAGGGCATATAGGGCTAGACCTGTATTTTTATAGACCAATCGGCACAAATGGGTGATGTGGTCAGTATCACGCCGGCCGCTTCTTCTTTCCGGGACTGCACCCAGTACCCACTCAAGGCTGGGTCGACCTGGGAGCCATGGCCATTTTTGAAAAAAGTCCGGCTCCGCCAATGAGCGAACCCACGACCTTTTGATCCGTGGTGATCGTCTAGCCGCTCGGCCACGGCGACTCATCTACTTACTATACTTTGTCTCTTTTACCAACGTCTAGTCCTCTCTGTGATCTACTTACTATACTTTGTCTCTTTTACCAACGTCTTGTCCTCTCTGTGATCTACTTACTATACTTTGTCTCTTTTACCAACGTCTAGTCCTCTCTGTGATCTACTTACTATACTTTGTCGCTTGTACCAGCATCCAGTCGTCTCTGTGATTTCTTCTTCTTCTTCTTCGCGTTCACCGGCTGTAAACTCCGGCGGAAAGTTCTGGCTGTTCGTCCACTTCTGGACTGCAGTCCTGTTCCAGAACCTGAGAGTTGCGTGTGCATCAGTTTGACAGATCTGTATGCAGACTGTTCGTTCCTTGCCTCTCCGGCAGATGCACTCCGACTTCGAAGGAAGCTCCCAATTAGTCGACTCTTACGACATGCTTTTAGGTAGGCAGTGGGTCTATTCTTGTTTTTCCCATAGTGGGGCCCCAGAACCCACACGGGGGTCTGTGATTTTGTATGATCAGTCACATTTGACAGCGTCTAGTCCTGTCCATGGTTTACAGTGCTTTGTTGTACAGCCGCGTTACTCAGTATAGTGTCTCTTGTACCTGCATCAAGACCCTTGTGCAATTTAATATTGTCTGTGCCCTCAGTGGAATGCAAAAGAGGGCGACAAAGTAGCAGAAAGGAGGCAGAATCAAGTAGCACGAGTTGTAATCTTAAGCGTAAAATAATCATCGTGCAAAAGGATATGCTGTCACGCTGATTACGCCAGATCATACAAGGATACGCGTAGCAGGTATCTCCCTCCAAATAATCTGCGAAACACTGCACAAGAATGTTCGGATTATCGCTACAACGAGTTGGAATTCCCACAGGCATTTCCTGTTTGGGGTACGTTATAAATTAAGAACCGGAAAGAGTAATATTAGATCGGTCATGTTCAGAAGACTGTCAAAGATGTGAGAACATAAAATCTGATGTAGAATGGGTATAACATCCAGCAGAGTGGAGACAGTTCTGTGCAGTAAGTATAAGACAGAATAGGAGGATAATCATCAGATGATGAGTGGGTGTTGCTGCCCTGACTGAGGATG